ATCTGTTGTATATCGTATGTAAAGTTCCATAGATCTTATTCATTTAAACAATATATTATGAATCTGACGTAACACGAAGAGTAACAAACACAGTCTACAATATGACTCGAACTGTAATACGATCAAATCTTGAACATTATTTACAATGCCACGCCTCCGAGAATATTCCTCTATTTCTCGCTTTTTCCCCTCGTTCTTCTTCTCTTCGATCAACAGGTTTTACTTATATCTTTGGTTTTAAATAGCGTCCACGCTGGTCGTGATAAACTAGAACTTCATTACAAGTACAAATAACACTCTAAACAGCGCGTACAATGTGTTTTTTGTATGTGTGTGTCGGTGTGATTGCTCGCGACCGAAGAGAACTAGAAGAATTCTCTCTCTCACTCACTCATTCACTCACTCACTCACTCATTCACACACTCACTTACTCACTGTTTTCGCTCATTCACTCATTTATTGACTTACTCACTCACTCAATCATTCACTTATTCACTCATTCATTGACTCACTCACTCACTCATTCAATCACTAACTCACGTACTCACTCACTCACTCTTCCTCCGCGCGAGCGTGTGTGTGTGTCGAATTATACAAACAGGACTTTCTCGTGCGAACGATGAACGTGAACGTTGACCGATTCCTTGACGCTTGACTCTGTCACATTTTGTGAAACATTTAACGTGGGCACACGATGTCCGTCGATAAGTATCTTAGGCGTAGTATAAGACGATAGGTCGGAACGGCTGACCTTTAACACGCGTTCGCCAGTCGTTCGGGACTTCGTTTAGGCGGCGACCTGAAATCAAATATTTCACAATAAGTACATGTTTATTCACCGGCTATTTTTACTCAATCTTCGACGTTCCACTATCTTAAAAATGATTTACCACTCGCGTAAATATTTATGATGAGCTTTTTGGGGGTAATACTCCGCGTACAGATATTGACAAAGTGTTTTCCGGGTGAATCGTGCGCTAAGTATCTCGAAATAGTAAGTTGATATGGATAAAACGTTCGAAAACTTCGAATGAAAAGAAAATGGTGAAATTGAAGTTACAAAGAAACTTGTTTAATAATTAAATAATACCTAGTTTATTTGTGGTATGTAGAAAAAAAAATGTGAAAAAGAGAAGACGGTAGGTAAGTTGATTTTACCGTGGATCTCTCGTATTTTTTATTCTAAAAATTAATTAACTTGAAACGAGGAACACTTCCTTTTGTTTCATGTCATAGTGCTTGTCAAATTGGCATTATGAAGTTGGCGGGGGGAGGGGGTGGTCGTTGGTGAAAAGTGTGAACAATTTTATGGAAATTACTTGGACTACGCGTATCCAGCTTTGAAAAAGTCACGTCCCTTTGATATTTTATTCAAGGGACGACATTCAACCTAACCAGCCGTAATATAAAGTGCACGAAATTCTATGAAAACCGGGTTGCGGCTAAATGGATCATATATCAAGGAAATAGTAGATTAATTTGCTCACCTAACAATCAAACGGTTAATTGAATATGTTGACCAGTACCAAATGCATCATGACTAGCAGGACGTTAATTGACAATCGATCAGCGAAATTTCCTGCAATCAAAACCATCAATCATGTTAGAAAAATTGGTCACGAATTAACCATTTCACGTTAACATTTGCTCGAAACATATTTCCAAGGTGTTTTGTTTTTTTTTCTCTCTAATTACTAAGGTCTCTTGGTGGTTGCACATGCCGGTGCAGTTGCGAATACAATGCTCGAAAATATCTAATCAAACAGAAATTAGAAGGATCATCCATACGATGCTGTACGACGAGTGACTTCCGAAGAAGAGAATTTCTTCTTCAACCCTGAAGCGAAGAACACAAGTTCAATCCACAGTTTCTTTTCACTTTCCGGCTCATTATCATCGCGATCAATAGGAGGCATGCTTTTTGCGTGCATTATTATTTCAAACCACCGATGGCCGAGGCTAACCGTTAATCGATGGGTTAGGGGCCATTAAACATGTCGACGAGGAGGAGGAAGGCCGTAGGAAAATATCTTTCCCAGGCGGAAATTATTGCCGCGGATATCATTTTCCTTTACGGCCGTCGTTAAGCTTTGATTACGATCCCGCCAAAAAGTTTATGAGATACGACGGGCGTAACGCCTCGATACTTTGTTCGTGACACCGGTGTTACGCTGACAATAAGTCAGGGACCGCTAATGTAAACTGCATGTCCTTAAATTAGGGTGTGTGTTCTGCAAACCGGGTCGTTTCGCTTTATCTCTCCTTCGTCTTCTTCCTCTCTCTCTCTCTCTCTCTCTTTTTCTCTCTCACACCCTCTGTCAGCAGAAGGAGTTTCCATTAGCAATAAGAATTAACTCCATAGCCCCCGCCACGGCTAATTACTTTCTTATTTGCGAGCTTCCTTGTTTTACCTATCGCTTCCTTGCATTACCTAAACGAAACGTTTCTATTGCTCGAAAGAACTTCTTTCTTTTTTTTTTCTACGGCTTGGCCGATTTAATCGTTCGGCAACGGAGGATGAAACGATGGTAGGAGAACGGAGAAGGGTCCAGACAGTGATCAGAGAGGATTTGTGCAAGTGTTCTCTCGTACAGGGTGACTCAAAAATAGCCGGACGAGAGATTTAATCGCCTGGGGAAAGGCTTGTTTTTGCGTGGCAAACCGTTCCGAAAGTGTTCAGCCGGGCGATTTAATCGTTGGATGGAAGTTTCTTCTACGGCGATATATCACGGGAAAGTTCGGTTAACTTGATGGAAGAAATTTTCCACGGGGAAAGATGTCACGCGCTACGTTTCAGAGATATGTTGCTTTGAACAATTTAATCATCCGAGGTAGGAAGGTGTTTTTGTACAGACTTGCCGGGAAAGTTCCGCTGACTGTTCGGTGTGTATACTTTACGCCGGGAGTTACAACGCTGTGCAACATTGCTGGAAATTTTAATGGGAACTCTCGGTATTCATTTGAACGCCTCTTTCGTACCTGACGTTAATTTCTACTTTGGCAAATGGAAATAAAAAGTTAGCTTTATGTTAGCATTTAAACTTTTAAGGAGGTGCACGCCCCACACCTTGAGGCGCGTCGAAAAATAGATAAAGTTAGAGAATTTTTTTTCGTAGGTAATTACTAGATGAAAAATTTCAATTTTTCCCGGAAGATACAAACGTAACTATCAGCTTTCTTCTCGAATTTTTGAAAAGTACGAATGTTACAAAATGGAGGCGTTATCGCGAGACCTGTTCTGCTAGAATCGTGTGTTTTTAAATCGATTATTAGCGGTACGTATGAATTTCATGATAAATGTTTTAGAGGTGCAAACAATTTCAAACAATTACAGAATATATATATTTAGAGGAACATTTAGCAATTCAACTTTTCATCGTCCATAATCATAGAAGCAGCAGGGAATTCAAATTGAATGCTGCCTGATTCCGTGCAGTTAGTGGATATATCCATATGATAATGATCCACCAACGTTCCTATCTGATGCAAACGAGGTCTAACTTCCATGGCTAATTAGTGTACATTGTTAGAAGCATCGTCTGGTTGTACTAACTTAATAATAAATACAAATTAACTTTCCAAGTTCTTTGCTTGCCGCGTATTTTATTTCGGCGTGCTCTGTAAAACGATCGAAGAAGCTTCCTAGAAACAGGTACGCATTTCCAGAGAAACTTTTAGCATATATGAAATTCAACTAGCAGCATGCAACATATTAACATATCCCAGTTTCAATGACATTGCGGTATATTCAGCGTGTACATGAAATTTGCAGTAGTTCACGCTGTAAGTAGGGCTTCAGTTCTTGCAATTAGCCGACACAGAACCTTGTATTTTCTTCGTTAGTTTCACAATTTAATAGGTTTTTTTTTTTTTTATCAATCTCGAAATACTACTGCGTTGTCCGGGAAATGACGATGAAATAATACTGTGATAAATTCCGGAAAATTTTGATGTTTAAGTAAATAAGAAAATTTCATATTTCGCCGTCTTTTTGGTAATTTGAAAATTCCATTTCGTTTCGAAACTTTGCTTCTTTATATTCTTTAAGATCAAAATTTTCGTCTCTAAATTTTGTAAATTTTACGAACAATTGTTCAGATAGACTATCCTTCTTTTTGGTAAAAGAGAAACATTAAATATCGGAAAAGTGTTCTATTTTCTCTCGTCTGTAAAACAGTGTAACTCCGAGAAGAAACTAGTAATTGGCTAGAAAATCGGCACGAACTTTCCAACCTAATATAATTAATACTTTCATATTCAATTCCTTAATACAAATATTCCAAAGAGTATATTTCAACAATTTCCTTTCCATTTGCAATACACTGTTAAATACTTTCATTCTTCATTTCTCAAGCATTCTACACCACACAAAATTCCCAGGAAACGAGAGAAAACGGCACAGTTAAACTATTAAACTAATTTTCAAACTTGCAACTGCTTCACCTCTGTCCCATGTAACAAAAGCATTCTTCCAATCATTACCGACGTTCCTCCTAAAGTCAAACATACTCCAAAGTAATTTATCACGTTTTTGGGCCCACAGAAACAAGAACCAAAAAAAAAAAAAGAAGGAAAAACGCTTATACGCTATTTCGCGATGTTCGATCGAAGAGCATTCCAATTCCTTCGTGATCCCTTTCGATGGTAAAAGTTCCAGCCTTAGTTCTCGTTCCTTTTTTCGTCGGAGCCGCCACGTATTACAAATTTCGCGGAAAAAGAAAGTTACACACACCGTTCCTCTTTGATGCTCGGCCAGAAACTTTAACGCATTTCCGACGATATGGATCGGCAAAGTGCTTGATAGCATATCACCGAGGAAATTTGTGCGCCAGTGTATAAGAGGAGGAGGTATTAACGCAACCTCAACTTCGGCTATTTATTAGCGTGGCGTAGTAATGCCAGCTGATGAGCTTCAAGAGGAAATACCGCTTCCCTTCATCCCCTTCAACCAGAACTTACGCTGCTGTTAGTTTATTAACCTTATCCTTCAGCGATGCTCGATTATCAGCGGGAAGATTAATCTACCGTGTACCTAGCCTTTCGTCCTCCTTCTCTCCCTCTCCTCCGTGTTTTTTTCTTTCTTCTTCTTCTTTTTCTTCGGCTTCCTCTTCTTAATGATCGGGTAAAGACGTTGAAGTCTGTTAATTTGTACGCGAGCCAAGCGAACACGCTGTCATCCGGTGTTTACAACTTTGGATTTAGTTTAGACGGAATAAAAATTCCTCGTTCTTTCTTCTTCTTTAGGGGCGCGTTCGTTTTTACGCGAACGACATAAAGGTTGAGTTTTAAGGACGCGATGAATTAAGATACTTTTCTCGGTGAACCGAGGCACTTTTTCCGGTTAGGAAAAGCTGATTTTCAGGGGAGTTCGACATCGGTCGTGTTTCAAACGCGAGCACCATATTGGTGGAATTTATAGACAATGCGAGCTGCTATTTTCTTCTCTTTTTCATGGTATTTCGGACAGTTGTTTTTAAAAGCTTTTTACCTGTCGAATTAAAACTCGTTGTTACGCTTTCGTGCAATTTTGTTTCCATGCAAAACAGTCGCGAGTTTTGAATGAAATTTGGTATTTGAACATTTTGAACATCATTGACCAATGTTCGACGATGCATTTTGTACTTATGCCTCTTGAAAAAAATTGCCACAGGTCAATTTAGGTAGAGTTTATAACGTTTATAGTGTTTATCACGTTTTTGAATATAAATTGAAATACATTTTTTATCTCGCGGAATACTTAAATTCACTGGAATTTTAAACGAGTATGCCAAACAGAGCTTTTAGCGAAGGGAAAATATCATTTAGTAAACACAAATTTCGCGCGTGTTTTTCCTTTTTTTTTTTACATATATAAATTAGATAAAATTTATCGTGCATTTTAGCTGTTTAACTTTCCTCTCTTCCACGCTCATGATAAGTTCATTTTTAAAAATCGAAAGACTTTTAATTCATAAATTCATTTTTAAAGATTTGAAAAATCTTCAAGTCTACGGTGTTTTAAATACAAATTTCGCGCGTGCTTCTTTTCTCTTCTTTTTTTCTTTGATTTTCTTTAAAATTCTTTAATATAAATTAGGTAACATTTACCGTGCGTTTCAGCTGTTTAACTTCCCTCGGGGTTATTTAGAGAAGCAACGCTCTGCGTACTCGGCCGCGAACGGGGCCCTAAGAAACGGCGAAAGAAGCCGGTGATTACACAAAAATTCACCGGTTTCTTTTTGCACGGACGGCGTGAAAAGGAAATAAGACTCCTGTCGAGGAAATGAGAAACGCAGTATAGACGATATTGCATCATGAAAAATCGATTGGCCAACTAGATTCCAGATGATTCGTTTATCGTAATATCGACTCTGTGGCCCTGAAATATTCATCTCTGAACAGGCCTCGTTGTTCAGATTTTCCAAAGGAGCACGCGTAACGAAAGAAAGAGAGAAAAGACAGCAGGTATAAATCGAGGTTACAAATGATAAACAATAAAATAAAGAATAGGAAAACACGTTCTCGTGGTACCCTCTGCATTCGGTGAAAAGTGATTTCTCCCTTGAAAATTAATCTTCCCACCGTTGCTGAATATTTATTTTCTATTTCTATGAAAAGGAATTGCCGCGTCTGCGAACCTCATTTACCCGGGGTAGATTTATACAAACATTAATCCTGATAGAATATTTACGAAGAAGTGCAGTTTCCATTATAAAGCACATTTGGGACACCTGGCTCGTGTTTATTTATTTATTACGTCTAGGAATTGTGTCGCGTTACCTCTGCATACTATTCTGCAAATACTGGTTATTTTGCTAGCGCAGGCGGGCATAATTAGCGTATAAATATTTTACTTGTCGAAGCGGAACGGAGGGGTTGTTAATACAGGTACGCGTTGCACACTTGTTAATCGTGCTCGAGATGTTTGGAATTCGGTTAAATCGTTCGAGAACTTTGAGGAGATCGAATTGTATCATGTCGTTTGTCATCGTTGTCAAAAGAATATAAAAAGAATATAAAAATAAAATAACAGAACGTTGTTTAGTATTGACTAGGTTAATTTTTGTTTTCTTCTATTCTACTTAACCTTGTTTCGGTGGTGTTTTTCTCTATAATTGATATTTCATTGCCTTTCACGATGCGTGTGTAATATTTATGGGATAACGAAGAGCAGAGATAAAATTGGAGATCGAATGCAAGCAGTAAAACAAACTTAGTAGTGTATTATATCTATTAATGCGCCTATGACTAACAGTTCTAACATGATCAGAGCGTTGAACAGCGTTTGGTGCCTCAGAACAAGTGTCAAAGTGCAATGAAGTGCAGAAAACACGATGCTAAAAACAAGCTGTTCAAAATGTGGCTCGAACGACTTCTCGAATTGAAACGAAACTCACCTGTATAATATTGAACATTTCTAATGCATTGTAGAATTATCAACATTTAGTCAAATTTATACCAAGTTATGTAAAAATTGAATAATTTTACTTTCAATATTCAATACCTAAAGACCTTTATTTCAACACTTTATGTTCGTCTTTTTCACCTAGACACAAAAAAATTCAAATATCACAATACAAATATTTTAATTTCTATCAAAATTTACTAAGAATTTCTCGATCTTCAAACATTTCACTCTTTTAACACAGATTCCAATATTTTAAGTTCCTTTCCTTTCACTTTGTCAAATTTTTCTAATTAAAATTTGAAAAATTCAAATATAATATAAAAGTTTCTATTTTCCTTAGTTTCATAACACCGATATTAACATAAAATGATTCGACTATCAAAATTTACTAACAACGGAATATCCCAAAGTGATAATCACCGATTTTGATGAAACTTTGATATACAGTAGTCCTCCAAAAACTATTCGACACGTATTTTTTTATATCGGCAATCATCCACATTGGAGGTGTGAAAATCACCCTCAAAGTTGTAGGTAGTAAGTCCATTTCGTCTAAAATCTGGAGAATTTTTGAAGATAGAGAAACAGTTGACGAATTTTGTATTTCTTAACAATTTCCAAAAATAAAAAACAAAGTAATTTTCACTGAATATGATTATTACCCTCATCTTTGACGACAATTTTCACCCCTTCAGTATGAACGATTGCAGATAAGAAAAGTGTGTCAAATATTTTTTTTTGCCAGAGTTTCATCAATATCGGTGATTATCACTTGTGGATCTTCATTTTCCAAGAACCTCATTCCCTTGATATTCAAACACTTCACTCTCTCAGCACACAGAGAGTTTCATTTCGAATAGATAGTTCGTTTATACAGATCCATACACGTGAATTTCATTCGTAATCGAGTCGTTTGGCATCGAACCACGTTCAAGACAGAATAAACCGCGTGCTTCTTGTCGGCGCGTTCTCCGGACTCTTCGCTGGAAAACCATGGGCCCTGGGCATCTAAAGCGATTTTCAGGCGTTCACGAGCAAATTCGGGTATGGAAGGAGAATGACCGGGAATCGGAATCCCGCACGCAAGAAAGACAACACTATCGATCTTGTCAAAGTTTCCAAATCTCATGAACGATGGTGGCTTATGGTGGTGATGTCGTGAATAGACGAGGAGAAATTTACAAGCCTTACCACCACCATTGCCAGCCTCTGAGTTGTCTAGCGCTTGGATCTCCATTTTGTGCAGCAGCTTCGTTGTAGCGGTTGAAGTAGTAGTAGGCGGTCCTGCACAATAAACACCACATATCGCGTCCATCAAGTAATAAGCATAGATATTTCTACGAACTGGGTAGTTAGAGTGTTAGAAACGTAGGCGACCAATCGCAGTTTTTAGTTCGTTTCAGTGGGTTAGAAATAGTGTTGGTTTTTTAATACAGAATTTTGTTAGAAAAAAAGAGAGCACACGATGATAAGTGATGAATTAGTTTCTCTTTTCTAACGAGGGAACACCCCGAAGTGATCATTACCAATATCGACCAAACTTCGTTTGGTATATTGTAGTACTTAAAAAAATATTTGACACGTATTTTTATTTGTCGGTAATTGTTCACGTTAAAGGGATGGAAATCGTCCTTAAAGTTGTAGGTAGTAAGTGTATTTGGTCTAATGTCTCGAAAATGATTAGAGATAGAGGAACAGTGCAAATTAACGAATTTTGTATTTTTCAGCAAGAAAATTGAAAAATAAGTTTACTGTCTTCACCTTCGACGCCGATTTTCATTCAAATACGTGTCAAAATACACCAAAGTTTGATCGAAAATCTGTGATTATCACTTCGGGATGTTCCCTTGTAGGTGTTAAGTTTGTTTCCGAGTTTGTTGATAAGCGCAAAGGAAAGGCCGAAGAATGAAAGTATGAAAAACGAAAGTTGAGAAAAAGAGGAGATGTATTACTATCGGTGATATACTATATTTTTTTTCCTAATGTGTACATGTTATTCTACGAATGGGATATAATTTCTATTCGTCGAAGAGATGTATAACACAATTGCATGATTTAATAACTGTCTGTATCGTTTAGACAGTATATGGCGATGATAAAAACATGAAATCATAAAAATAAGCGTTGGATCGTTAGTAAAGAAAAACGGAATAAAAGACTGACTAAAAATACTAAATAAACTGGGAAACTTACGAACACGTTTAATATGCGCATGCATCCGGGGATTATCTATCTAATTATACATATTCATAGCGCGTTCTGTAAACACAGCAAATGCTAACATAGAAACGAAAGGAACAAATAACGTCTGATTGAAAGTGGGTCAGTTTGTTCTGAGGCATGAATTTATCACGGGGACATTTTTAATATTTTTCACAATGTCGGTGGAATTCTCGATATTCGTAAACTTCGATTCAACGTCTCGTTTAAAAAAAAAAAAAAACAAAACGTGTGAATGTAATTATACGTACGGTGGAAACAGCGGACAAATATTTTTGCGCGGAAGTTGCTTCGGCAAGGTAATTAATGTCTCGCGGTTTGGCGCAACATTAAGCGAACACTGTATTATACAACATAATGCTCGGGGAAACTTCAGGAGTCCTTTAATTTTATTATGCTAGTTCCGTGACAAGTGAGAGAGATAATCACGTAAAGGAATTAAATTTTCAGCACGAGTTATCCAATGAGAAATGAGAAAAGTCACAGTTCCGTTGCGACTGTTACATTCGAAAAATGAATTTCACAATTACATCACTTTTAATCAGACCAAACTTACGTACCTAACTCTGTTAGCTCTTTACGCGACGTTAACCTTTCACGATGTTATTAATTCATACACGAAAGTTCAATTAGAAGCATCTACGACAAGAATATCAAAACAGTGTTTGTATTTTTAACGGAAAATTACACAATTTTAGATATCCAGATATTTCCTCCCGCCTTTAGTTTACGTCTAATTACTAACCACACGACTATTTCATCAACGAGGACTTTACACGGCTCTTCCATTCGATTCCCGCAACGGCCGCCGGTCTATTCAGTAACACACAAATCAGTGAAAATTTCATCAATAATCCTCCTTCTTTTCATCCCTAATTTCCGCCGAATTCGCCCGAAATCGTCAAATAGCCGGGAATTAGTTATTAGTCGGTCGGGGTTTGCGCGCATCTGTTCTACTGTAGCCGGCCGCGTCGGAAGTAGAACGTATCAATAATAAGCCAGCCGGCGAGAGTGACCGAGGCAGATCGGTATGCTCGTCACGCGCCCGACCGTCGAATAGACGGGGGCGCAAATTGGCAAACACCTAGGGCGAACGAAGGGCTAACGAAGAATCCATTCCCGTGTGAAAGCGAGTAACACCGTCGTGGAGGGGGCGTCGTGTGTCGTCTTGAGTCACAAAGTAGGGGACCGCGACCGGTCTTTTCGTATTTTTGTCGGATCTTTCGGAGAAGGAACTTCACGAAGAACAGAGAAAGAGAGAAAGGGTAGAAGATTTAGTTCAGTGAGAAGAGAGAAAATTGGACGATAATAGGCAGGGCGTGCTGCTTGCGAGTACAAGCAATTTAACCCGTGTGTAATTTAGTCCTTTCCTTCTGCCGTCTACGCGCGGCGACGGCTCCCGGTGCAACCGGACAAGCTGAAAACCGTTCTTTGGCCGAGATGATAACGAGGCAAGAGGAAGGACGTGGCTACAAGTTTCACCGCAAAATACCCCGGCCGTCTGTGAGGAAACGCGATGCACACGCCAAGACGCCTGTCGACGCCCACCACTTGACCCTTCGGCGCGCGGGTTACCCTCTTAGGACTTTGCCCTTTGAACCCGTCTGCCGTCGCTGGAATGTCATCTTAGCGGGATCAGACGGTGCTGGGATAATGGAAGGACACGTATAATAAGCTGAAACGTTGCACGCTTGATTAAGATGATTTCGGTCAGCGTCGCTCGCGGTTGCGTTCGAGGACGGTCATTAGGGAACTGGGTTCTAGGTTTCGCTTGTGGTGTCGTGTTAGATTGTGCGGGGTATTGGTGACTGTGTGATCTGCGTGGAACAGTTTTCTTCTTGTTTCTTTTGGAAATAAATGTGCCGGTGATTGTGAAAGTGGCGTAAGTCACGTATTAAAATAGTTTTCCATTGTGGAACTAAATGTTCCACACATGCTTCTCTAATGTGAAGCTTATCTACCATTGTAAAATTCTGTGGGTAATTTGAGAGGAAAACGTGTCTTTTAAACTCTTCAATGACTTACACCATTTTTGTAATTAATTGTCTATCCTAATTGGCGACTTGCGGTAACAGAAGATAATGAGTTTTATGAACGAAATAAGTTGAAACATATATGTATTTATTTATGTTGTAATTGTGATTGTGCTTAATTCATTTCTACTAATATTCTGCTTTAACAGCACAATTCTCTGTTTCTGATATTTCGAGGGTTTCGAAATATTCGTGATGAATTAGTGTAATGTAAGGTAGTAAATAATTTTCCTTTGTCACTGGTCCTGCAGTTGCATATAATAGAGGTAATTCTGCATCACAAATAACTTACATCATTATCGAAATGAACGTGAAATTGCCGCGGCTCATTATGAAAGTGATACTTTCATGTTATTGCTCATTTCACTGCTATTTCGCGAAAATTCTTTCGCAACAGTGAAACAGTGGATCGATGTAACATAAAATAAGAGAAAAACTCGATCACTTTCATAATCGCCGATAAAATTGTTCTAGATTTTATGACAAAAACTGAAGCGATTCTTCTGGCAAATTTAGACATTCCGAGACGTTCTTTTACTTCCTCTTCTTCGAAAACGTAACTCGTCAGAAGTCTTTAACACACCTATTCACCCATCCCTCTCTCAAGAACACATCCTACGAGATACTTCGTACCTTTTTACACAGAACGTTTCCCACGTACTTTCAATTTCGGTTAAAGGTTCGTAAAACATTATTACCCCGGTCCCCCTTTCCAAATTTTTACGAAGCACGATTTCTTCGTCGCGAAAATTTCCTTCGTTTCTGGTATATCTTTGTATTTCCCGCGTGACTTTATTACACCGTTCTACGCGAGAAGTTAATTGTCAGAAGTGAATGTGTCCGGACGGAAGTGTTGCAATATTTCCTCACGGAAGCGGAAACATGGAAGAACGCGGTGTATTCGCGCCGAAAAGATAGAGCCGTGGAAAGAAGAAAAAAAAAAAAAGAAACACATAAATTGTTCGGACACCGTTTGGGTAAGGGGGGAGTAGGTTTATTTACCGACCCAAGGGAAGATATCGGTTGACGGTAACGTTTCGTAGGGCGTGACGCGCGAGTGATACGCATCAGGGACGCGCATACGTACACTACATGTGTATGCACAGATGGATAGGGCTGAATTTGCTAACAATCGATCACGTTTAATTTGTTATATTGACGCATGTTGTTTGTTGTACGTACAGAAAACATGTACACACAGGAGACACATTGCACGTGGGCCAAGAGAATTCTTCGAATATTATTGAACGTTAAACATCGAGATACAGAATGTTATTTACATCAACGACACAGAAATTCTCGATAAAACTTTTAGTATCCCAGTCATTGTTAGCGAAGCCCTTGCGATACTTACGCTTGGTGGCAATTATTCGGAATATTCGAAGATAGGAAAAAGCTCTGCAATTATTTTCAGTATAGTATAGTATCAAAGCTACAAAAGTTTGTTCAGAACAATATTTTCTTCAGCTTTCTCTTTCCAAGTTTTTCTACTCTTCCCAGTGTCTAAGGTTGATTTTCATGAAAGTTAACAAATTTTATAAAACAAAATAAAGAGATAGCGATACAGTGGGCAGACTTTCGTAACACGTTGTGTAGATCACGAGCGATTAACCCTTTAATTTCGTACTAATTTTCAGTGATAGAATACAAACGAGGGCACACAGTCGTTATTTCAGAACTATCTGGCCGTAAATTTCGTATTCTCCGCGGCGACGATTTAACAAAAAAAAAAAAAAGATAGAATTTATTTAAAAGGAGGCCAAAGTAAACCGATTAAAACCGCTCGGCGGAGCTTATCGCGGTGATAAAAGCGCAAACTTCGTCGGGCAAATATTTATATCGCGAAACGCGAGCAAACTCGTCGGAGTTCTAGTTAAAGGGTTAATATCAATCGATTTCTAAGGGAGACGCGAGAATAAAACGTCGTTAATTCTCGTAACTGCGACCTGCATTTCCTCCTCGTATTCTCCCCCCCCTTCGAATCTTCCGTTCAACGGGCTTTACTTCATTTTCTTTCTTTTTCTTTATTCCTCTCCCCTTTCCTCGTCGCGATATAAAGAGATTAAAGGTGAAACGCTTCCGGTAGGTCGCGACAGAGAAAGATAGAGGAGACTGGAGAGATAGAGAGACGAAGTTAGATGGGATAGATTAAAATACGTTTATACTAACCAGGATAGTAGACGGTTTTGTGGGAAACGTTGTAGTTCGCCGTCGGTATACCGAGCAAGCATTTGACAATCGCTGCTTTCGGTAAATCTTCGTCCAGTAAGGCCGTTCGTGATAAGATATTGAACAGTCCATCCTTGTCCCGCGTAAGCGTTGGCTGCGCTGTTTGCTTTTCCGAAACACCCCTGCAATGGAAGCGACGTTTGCAAAATTATCACGGCCACGTTCCAACACGAAATATCATGCAACATGTCGGCTGAATCCACGGTATTAGCATGTTAATGTTATTTTGAAGATGCACGCTGTATCTTGCTTGCCTTGTTGTTTCTGTTGTTTTTGTAAATTTCGAGTGTTGATCTTTGAATAATTTTCAGGCAGAGTTAACCCTTTCGTGACAGAATTATGATTTCTTTTTAAGCATTTGTTATTTATCTATCGATCGTCGTGTCTGTAATGGGTGCTAAATTGAGATTACCTTTTTTTCAAGTATCTTTCAAGTATCACTCTTAAAAAGTGGTTTGCTCAGAAATAAGTTTTGCGTTTGTCTGTGAATGGTTTTAAATTGGAACGAGGGGCAAAGTTAAATTTTAGATATTATTAAGTTTGAATTTTCAAGTATTTTATATTGTTCTTTTGGAATTAAAAAATTCAGAAATTCAAGTACTTCAAATCTCAAGTATGTAACATTTTTTAATGTTAACGTTTAGAATAAGTATACAAAGTTACATATTATAAAAAATGTCGAATACTCAAAGTTTCAAATATTTATTATAAGGGGTCTCTTAGTTAAAAACAAAAAACATTCCAAAAGGAATGAAATGAAAGTTTGAAAAGCTATCAGGTGTATTTTCTAGAATTTTCAGACTCCCTAGCGTGTAATTCCCTAACTTAGTACTAGTTTACATATGTTTAAATAGTTCATCCAGTACGTTAAAGGCCGTAATGAATAATTCAAATAACAATGATAATCTTTATTTGGTATAGTTTAATCTTGGCTTTGTTCTTGTACACGCTTCGCGTGTATTATTATAGATAACAGTGCCCACGGTACTGTCTCACAATTTTCATTGTTATCGTTGAGAGGTTGCCGGCGTTAAAATAAGAATTTTTCCGTTTGTTTTCATTTCAGCGCTTTTATCATTTATATTTACGCTATATACCTCTATTAACCACTACACATACAAAAGAGTTTTTTTACATTTTATTATCAAATTATTACACTGCCTGCAAAAAATATTCCTAAACAGTAACCTTTCACCCTTTGTGGCTATTACGCATTGCAATTATTGTCGCTACGACGCGGTAATTTTTATTTATCCTCAAATTGCATTTACACTGTTCCAGACACTGAATATTTTTGCAAAAAGGCGACATTTTTAAGTATTACATTCTAAATATTTTCATTTCTCGTATTTTCCTCGAAGATGAACGTTGAACACTAAATATTTTCTTTTTTCACATTTTCAACAGATTTCTACCGAAGATAATTGTAGATTAGTATGTTATTCTCGCCAATGTCTACAAAGACTTCATCTTTCCAATTATTTTGATTTTTTAAGTAAAATTGTACCATGTTTCGTATTGTATCGCGAGCAAATGCTTAATTCGCTAACAACGTTGCAAAAGTTCGTTTTTATCAAGATCTGAAAGTATGAGAAAATTAGGTAGTTTACCGTAGAGCATGCTTGAGGGGTTGAAAAGCTCGCCGGAGTACTTACTCGATGGATATATCCAAGGTGGGTTGTGGAAATAGTCCTTCTGCCATGCACGTTATCTCCACCCCATCCTTATCATCTATGACTTTCTTTCTATATACAAGATCGAATTTGTCCTCCGTCGCTGAAACAGAGTAAATCATTTATTTAATTCAATAAACGAGCTACTAAGTTTGAACAGGATAAAGTTTTTCGCTAAAAAAAAAAATGTTGCAATCATTATCTCTCCCTCCTCTTACTCAATGATTTTTCGTTTTGCGAGAGTACCCGTAGAATTATCCTATTAATTTTTACGTTCCCGTAAAATGAGCTGCATACACTGTTCCAAGCTTTCTTTTCCAGAAGATATTCGGGATAACGATAAGGTTCGTTTCAATGTTTTTAAATATTTTACATTAGACGGAGGACCATTTTAATTTAGGATAAAAGTAATTTCCCCTTGAAAATTATTATTACCTGAAATTCCGAATAAAAAGGAAACAAGCAGTTGCGTTTTCTTATCTCGTAAGAGGGGGAGAATATCACCTCACGCTTAACGTGAAATCTCCTAAAAATGTAAAGCGTTCTTAAAATACTCGAATAGAATTTGATTGTTATTTCGAGAAATTTTAGAAGCAGTATACATTTAGGATAACGTAAATACACCGAAATGAAAAGTTGCAATAAAATGGATAGAGTCGACGAAGGTAGATTCTTTCGCAAAATAGGAAATATTTCAATCTTATCAGATAAATTACACCGTAATGGTGGTTTTTTTTTACGAAAGTAAAATTTTTCACCCTGTCCGAAATGTATTCACCACGTTTCCCCTCCCGCTCTTTCAAACCTTACGCGCTCTTTTTTCACTTTCAATTCTCTGGCTTTTATTTATCCTTTTCTATAGCGGGCTTATTGGCATAAGACAAATCGGCAAATAAATTCGGCCGTGCACACAGTACACGGGCGATAAAGCTTAATGTTCAACAATGATTTCCAGACTGTTCGTCCGATTCGGGTGTATTCGAAAGCGGGCAAAGCTACGGCGCTATTGTTGTAAAAGCAACTGTGAAATTTTATTCGTCGCGTGCTCGCCGAATTTATATACTCCAGGCAAGCACTTTTATTTTATTTTTCTAATTTTTATTCGGTAACGCTTCGCTTCGCTAAAATTTTAAATCAAGCGTGAAATTTCCTCTCATGTTTTCCATGAAAAAAAGATTTTTCTCCCTTTTTAATACCATTCAAATTACGTAGGTATACAAATTTTCTCGTATTCTTCTATTTTACGTGGCTCGCCCTGTATATCGTAAAGCGAGTAAGTGATTAATATCAACAATAGTAGGCCAAGGATCAATCGGGAAAAATAAAATTTTAAATGATCAAACAATCATTTCTAATACTTCTTAAAAAAATTATTTTTTCAATCGCTAACTCTAATTGCTATATTTCAAATAAATATTTACGCAATATGCTATTGTATCTATCACTGTCAATGTACAAAAACTATGTCAATAATTATTTCCAACAGCTTTCGCTTGAAATATATCCAGCACCGAATTTAATTAATACGTCAGGCCGTCGACATCAAACCGTATATTTTATATTTCGCAGTATAATAGCGCAATTATAATGTGCAATTATAAATTTTAATAAGTGAAATTATTTATTAATGTAAACATGTGTTCACGCAATTACAAATGGTCAAACGTATAATTACTTATGTTCGCTACGTGATGGACGAAAGAACGAATACAATTGCTTTTATTAAGTGTTCGTGTTATTTTTCACATTGTTTTCAAAAGTTTCTACTTTTGATTAATATAGAAGATGATATGGCAACTCTATTTGTGTGTGTGTGTAATTATTGTTCAACAAATTCTTCTCTAATTGCTATTTCGTAGGTATTAGAATTATATAGTTATTAAACTATCCTTTACACTTTCCATGTATTATTATAAATTATAATTTTTCGTACACTTAGACTTCGTGAGTTCAAAGATTTTACCAGTACAATTCTAAACGATTAAAAGGTAATTTGGTGAAAAATTTTAATCGTGCAACCTTTATTCACTGTTTAACGATTTCTCTCACATTGAAATACCGTATTTCCGCGAGTATTTTTCGCCACCGCGTATCTTTAAAAAAAAAAAAAAAATCTGAATATGTATTTCTGGCATGGAAAATACAAGACTTTAAGAATAAACCCTGTACCTTTGAAAAAATTCGGGCATTTTTCGTATCTCTATATTCGTTTTGTGAAAAAATGGTAAAACCGCGGGAACGCGATAATCAGGTTCGAGTGTTCACGGAACATTTTCCAGATACTTACATCGATGAGTAATTGATGTTCTGAAATGCTCGAATACTTGAACTTTTGATAGAGCAGCAAGAAAAATAGTATCGACAAAGCGGAAGGAAAATAAAGGTAACAAATCTGAAGGCGTACACAAATGTAACTGGCAATACGTTTTACGTTAGTTCCCTTCGAGGAAACTCTGTGACATGTACGTTCCATTAGCTCTAAATCGAATCCTTCGTCCGCACCTGTTCGTTTTTACCACATCTCACGTTTACGGTCAATTCTAATTTAAAGCGGACATTGTTTCGAAGAATTCCCCGTGTCTATTTACAATGAAAATTGAAATGAACTTTAGCCGAAGGTACCTCGTCGAATCAATCGGCGAAGACAAAGGGAAGAAAATATCATTTGGAAAATTGGACAACCGATGGAGGAATAGGTTTTCAATAAGAATTACTTTTATCACCGAACGAGATTCTTCCTTCGATTTTATCTTAAGTTTACCTCGTCGCTTTTTCTTAAACTGCACAACTTCTGCTTAACAAACTTTTCCGCAAAAGCAATGGCATTTGCGTGAGTGGAGGTAGTCACTTCAAATACTTCCTCCGCGCATCTGCATTGTAAATTGTCTGAAACAATTTCAGTTTCACGAAGTATCGCTACAAAGTGATTTTAACCCTCAACAGATACTACGGAGTTTAAAGTGACCCACATTGCTCCTTCAAAGTGTCCTACTTAATTGACTATACCGACTGTCCACCTGAAACTTGCTGCGCCCTAGTCTCGATATTCTTTCACTTTTCGTATTGTTAAGGATACTTAAGTTGGACCAGGTTTACGATAAGGACGCGACTTCTCTACTATTTTTCAGATTAAGGTTTCGATTCTCGACGACGTGTCAGAATTGAACGCATATTGCGCTGTCCTTTTTCTTCCATTGGAAAAATGTAAGTCAAAGCGTTACAAACGAACGGCAAACATATTTCCACACGCCTAGGAAATTATTAAAAAGAAATAAAATTGATCATCTTTGGTACATCAAAGGGCGTTAAGATGTTAAAACGACATTCTTATCCAATCTAATTAGAATTTCTACAGGCAAACTTACCCCTAAAGACCAACACCGAAAACTTTCGTTTCAAGAAAATGCTCGCTCCACTTGCTCTTCCTGGGTCAGGGTCAAACTGACCCCACCCAAGCCAGTTATGTAACACCTATTTCAGTTGGTTGGCCGGTCGGAAGGACGACGAGTCAGCTGGGTCGATTCAGAGGGTCGTTATAGAGGAATGATTTCAGATGCGGCCGAGGAATCGAACATTCAATTTCGCGCTGGCTATTAACGGCCAGGCGCAATGGGAGAGGAATTTACGAGCGTCCATCGAATCGAGACACGGGATACAAGGTCTGAAAGTGGATATTTCGCGGCGGCCACACGTACGGCAATGAAAATAAAAAGGTAATAGTAATGGATACACCGCGTGCTGCCCGGTCTGGAAGACGACGCTGCATTATCGCGATAATGCTGCACGTTTCTCAAGCCAGTCTCTCTCTTTTCGCCTTGAACCTCCTTGTCCCAACCCTGTTTCACCCTCTGTTTCTTGTTTCTCCTGCTCCGTTTCATTGCAACGGTCGGCAACTTTTATTTTCAAGAACGAGTGGCCACCGCGGCGATAGGGGCAAGGTAAATGCGACCCGGGGAAAATAAATTGCGCACGTGTCACCGTGACAGAAAAGTTCAAATTATATCGCCTCCCTGGCGCCGTTATGCTCGTGTCATCGAAAAAGAAAGCCCAGATGTCGAGCCACGGGCCAGATACCGGCTCAAAAGTGAATTCTACCGTGGACACCGGACAGTCGTATTCGATCCTGTATCTTTTCTCTTCTCTTTTTTTTCCATCCTGCCGCGTAGAGTTGAAAAGAGGGGCTTTAAGTTCAATTTTACGATGCACCGTAGAATTGTATTTGCTTGGTTAAACGGTTTTTTTTTTTATCGTGTTTCGGTTATTGCCCCGATATTCGTCTCTACATTTTCGTTTGTATCGAGTCCGCTCTGTAAATTGGAAATTTATCAACAGCATGAATACGACGATAATGAAACTTTTCTTCGAGCGAGGCAATAACTTTCTAGCGTGATAAGCAGTCAGTGTTCAGACGATACGGTTTTTCGACCGATTCGGTATTTCCGGTATATATACCGTATTTTTCTGTACCTTCGTTGAAAATCCAACTTTCACGTGTTCGCTTAATTTGTTCGTTTATTCTGATATTTGCAGTCAGGCAAGATGGATGTAAGTACATTTTTCCTTATGTTTTGTTGTTGCTGTCGTAGAAAAAGGATCAACTGTGGTTCGGCAAACGAATGATTCGTCGCAATGTGAATAAGCTATTAAAGTAATAGCTATTACACACTATACTGAATCCATTAATTTTTATGTTTAGGAGCTGAACTTGCGGCGAAAATACAGAATCGTGTGAACGTTGCTTTCGATTATTACCGATTCGTCAATAATACCTAATCGATCAAAAAAACTGCATCGTCTGAAATGACTGTAAATCAGCAAATAAGCTACATCTTTTCTCTAAAGAAAAGTTTGATATTTTTTTCTATAATAAAATTGGAAATTGAATTTCGATTAATTCGAACAGCTTCGTTTAACAATGAACTCGGATTAACCAGTTATGTTTCAATTTTGTTAATCAGTTTATGTTTCTACCGAGTACCAGTGCAACACGAAGCACTTATACTTTGCTACTTTTTGTGCGTTATTATAAAGTCTAATTAATTCGAATGTAGCAGCGGTTCTACAGCACATACCTATTCGGTTTGTTTGATTCTGTGCTGTATA